AAGTTAGTCATGAATGATGTGTTGCCTTTCTGAATAAAAAGACTCCTTATTTTATATATCTATAAAGTGAAGCTTGAATGTTCTTCTATATGCTTATCCTAGATTACAGATAAAAGAAAATTAAGTCATCCATTTCTACTCACCTATTCAAGAAGATACCAACTATTTATTCTTAAGTGAATTGAACAGATGAGAAGTAATATTGAATGGAGCACTATAAATAATGCAGTGGAAAATAAAATGGAAAAACCACAAAGGCATCCCTCCCAGGATGAGAGGTCTGCCATTGACCAGCTCCTCTCTCCTGTCCTCACCTGCTGTGCAGGTCTGTGTCTCTTCACTGCTGGGTGGAGAAAGTGTCAGGACACAAGCTCTCTTCCATCTCAGGAAAGATCAGGACATGGCCTTCTTTCAGCATTTTTCAGTGGCTAAAATTTATAATTAATTCAGCAGCTGTGCTGTCGAACATTCATGGTTTCTAACTGTCCACACCTTAACTGATTAAGAAGAGAATATGGTGTCTATCAATCTCATTTTTATAATGACACTTAGAAGTGGAATTTCCAGGTTAAATGTATATAAGATGAATTTGAGTGTAGCAGATATTTCACCTGAAGCCTCAGCATACAGTTAGAGCCTGGTAGAGGAAGACTCAAATCTCTGTGGAGATCTGAAGTCAGAGAGATGGTCCAGGCAGAGGAGCAGGACACCATAGCACCTAGCAGGAACCATAGCTAAAAAAGGCCCAGTCCAGGCTGCCTCATTCATCAGTGAGTTCTAAGGGAGGCATCACACACTCCATACTGGACAGGAGAGAGTGGGAATGGTTTCAGAGCTCCTCCCTACATGCCTGAGGCCTCCTGTCTAACTCAGGGGAGCTCTGTATGAGGTCAGTCTGTTACAGAGCCCAACCTGACTGAATGTTTTCCACCCAGGTGCAGATCTGAACTGCCACATGTGGACTCACCGTAGATATGGAGCAGGACAGGTGTTTACAGGGAGCAGGTCAGGAGATGGGGACACTGCAGGCGGGTCAGGGTATGAGCCTTAAATAAGAGACCAGGCCCTCACCAGGCCCAGTTTCTACAAGCAGTAACCACACCCTGCAAGAATGTGCATTAAATCTGAGTAACTGAAAGGAGTTACTTACAAAGTTATATATTATAGAGATAATTTGATGATAGAAAAGTAAATGGTAGCATCCGTAGATAAAATGAGATGTGACCTTTAATGGATATGTGGTGTCCATTGCTGTCCCCGAACCACATGCATCAGAAGGAAATATTCTGATTAACAGAGCAATAAGGAGCACAGGCAATGGGTAAAAATCACAGCTGCTTAATAACAACAACAAAGCTGGGATACAAAAAGTGCACTGGTGAATTTTATCCAGTATATAATAAAGAATACTGATTGTTTTTCAATTCTTCGGTCAAGTTGAAGGAAAACCTGCCACCAACTACTTTTAAGTGACAAAGTTAATGTTATCCTGAGAATGAAGCCAGACAATAATGTGTTAAAAATAGCATAAATGAAAACACTCTGCTGGCTAATATTCCTACCAAACATACACAAAAGTGTTCAGCTAAATGTTTGCAACATTAACTCACAAGCATATTCAAAATTAACCAACATGATCAATACTGGGCTCAATCTCAGTGGTGTAAGAATGGTCCCTCTCTCACAAACTATCTGTTTCCACTGGTTTTAACATGTTGTATCTTACTATATTTTACTATATGTGATAGTATAAAGAAATTTTTTTATAGGCAAGGAGATAATATAGAAACCATTGTTCGTTTTCTGTTAACTGGTTCTAAATACCCTGTAATTCTTTCATTCTGTTGAATGGCTTCACACTGTTTTGATATGCTTGATGCTATCATATACGAAGTTATACTCAAATAATTCAAGGAATGAGGCACTATGATGGTTACTATTATGTTAGATTTTCTGGGAGTGAAACACAATTATGCTTAAATTGTTCCATTCTGACCAGTGTTGTTCTATTACAATGTCCTCTTTTATCTCAATCTCCATCCTTTTTTAAAAATTAAACTATTTTATTTTTTTCAATTAAGGGAAAACTAAATTTAAAAATAGCGGGATATATTATAGTAAATATTTGTTTTCCTATTAACCTGATTTGAACCCCAGTATTGCTCTCCACATCTTGTTCTGATTTTACTATATTCTATTTTGTTTGATAGTATCAAGTTTGAGGGTATAGGCAACCACTTTGAAGGCAATAAGATTTATTATGATGCCCATTATAGTTTGACTATTATCTTTTTTGAAATCTTGCAAGGTCTCCAGTGTAGGTTTTATTGGTCTTGTTCTGTACTGTTTTGATCAATTCTATTATAACTGATGATATAGGAACTCTTTTTAAAAATAGCAAGAGGCACAATGGTAACCATTTTTGATCATCTGATATTCTATTTTTGCATCATGTACTATGCCCATCCTTCTGTTCTAACTGACTGTTTTATTTAGTCATGTTAGGATTTATTCTCTTCAAAAAAAATGTAATAAGAACTGTGGGAGTAAAAAAACTCAAAACGTGTAATTGTTATTGTAAAAAAGAGAGGAAAAGAAGGTGGTCTAAGGGATATAACTGCATGCTTGAGTGTGTAGGATGGAAAACCATATTACTGAGCTTTTGTTGGATAACTGAACAGAACTTTCTGTAATCTCACTGTATGAATGTCCACTTTATATGCTTTAATTTTATAATTTGGACAACTGTTTCTAAGATGACAATATGTAACCTATTGACTAGTGATTTCTTACTGTATTTTTTCTTGAAATTCTGTATTACTTGTACCCTTTTATTGCTTTGTTTTTTATTTACTTTCTTTTTTCTCTTTAATTAAAAAAAATCAGACCTGGAATGGATATCTTTTATTCATTTATTTTTTTGGCTCTGGAAATCAAACTCATGACCTCACCCTTGCCAGGCAGGTGCTTAAGCCACTGAGCTAAATCCCCAGCACACCAATGGATATCTTTTACATCTTTCCATCTTCAGAGTAGTTGCCTCTGCTCTTGAACTTGATACCAACAAGCATACCAAATGTGAATAAAATCAGTCAAGGCCAAATAACATTGAAAAAATTCCAGCTTCAAAGAAGATCAGTCATAGAAGACAATGTAAGTAATATAGGTATTCAGTTTTAGTTAATAGGAAATTAAGGATAATTACCATGGTATAACCTGATATTTTTGGGTTATCTCTCTGTGCCCTCAAATCTAATATGAGTAGACAGACCAGAACAAAATATAACTAAACTAAACAGAGCAACAAGACTACTGTAGCTTTTAAGTCCTGATACACTTTTAACAATGTCCTCTGCCTTCTTTTTTTAGGCAATTCCTCACCTTTCTCCTTCTCAGGATACTATTATTCACTGTTCAGAGTGATATTAGTCTAGTCTCTTATGTTCCATTTCAGCATACATAAAGATAAAGACAGCTACTATGAAGAGAATGAGAGACATTATAGTAGTCAATATCAACTTCCCCAAAATCAGTCTTGAATATCGAAAAAGCCTCATCATCCTGTAATTATTTGATTAGTTCCATAATATTCAGTATATGTTCATTGTGTGTGAGGATGGGAACAACTATTTGGAAGAAAACTAGAGACAGTAAGATAGACAGTGAACAATTCCAGTGGACTTGCTTTGAAATCTGTGTTTCCTTAACTTGTTTCCTTATGAACTGTTCTGCTCTGTTTCGCCATGTTTAATCTTACCCTCTTTAAGAAAAAAAATTGTGTAGGACAGATAGGCATATTAATAACTTTTTGGGGGATCATTGAGGTGAACTGTTGATAGTGTCATTATTGGAATATCACTTTGTATGCTTTAAATTTGTAACTTGAACAACTACTTCTAAGATGACAATATGATACTAGTCAACTAGTGATTTCTTATTGTTTTTTTTTCTGAAATTCTGTATTATTTCTACATTTTTCTCTTTAAATAAACAACATTACAATTCACCAAAAAGTATAAAATTTAAGTTTTAAAGACAAAATATTAAGTACATAGGCACTATCCATACTTGAAAGTGAAAAAGCCCATTTCAGTTTAGCATGTTTAATTACAAGATGCCATGTTGAAGCACAAAAACAGTTTAAAAAATCTAGAGAGGTACAGTGATTAACTGAAAATCATAAAACATATGCAATTGAGTAGAGATCCACCTCAGATTTGTCATTTCTGGAATATTTGTGAAGAAATAGTGACATCAAACTTCTGTATTGATTATTTCTTCAGGTCTCCTTGGGATTTTTAAAGTAAACTTAGATCTAAACTGTCTGAACAGTGATGCTTTTTCTATGTATTTAACAAGAAACATGGATTGCCATATTTCTCACATTGTTAATCCCATGGCATCTTTGCCCAGTGAGCTCTTTCAGATATGTAACAATGATCAAGTATGCTGAGAGTATTCACATAGCACATAGGAATTATCTCTTGTGTGAGTTTTTTCATGTATTTCACTTACAATCTGGCTGCTAAAAGTGTCTCCACTTGCTTACATAGCCAGTGGTTCTTCCCAGTGTGAATTCTTTCATGTGTTTTGTAATGACTATATGCAGTAAAAGCTTTGTCACATTGTTATGTACATAGGCTTTCTCACCAGTGTGAAGTCATTGATGTATTTTACAAAATCCATGTGTGGTGAAAGCTTTTTCACATTCTTCACATACACAGGGTTTTTCAATCATGTAAATTTTATAATGTATTGGACAATGAGCATTTCTGCTGAAACCTTTCCCACATTCCTTACATATGTAAGTTTTATGCCCAGTGTGAAGATTTTCATGCATTATGCAATATGTACATGTGCTCAAACCATTCTCATGATGCCTATATACACTGGTTTTATATTGAATGTGAACTTTCATGTTTCTTACAATCTCCCTGTGTTTTAAAAGCTTTCCCACATTGCTTACATAAATATGGTTTCTCTCCAGGGTGAATTCTTTCATGAACCTTACAATTTGCACTTGTGTTAAAAACTTTCCCACATTGCTTACATACATATGGTTTCTCTCCAGTGTGAATTCTTTCGTGTTGCTTACAATGTTCAGATCTGGTGAATCCTTTTCCACATTGCTTACATAAATATGGTTTCTCTCCAGTGTGAATCCTTTCATGTTCCTTACAATGTCCAGGTGTGGTAAAAGCTTTCCCACATTGCTTACATACATAGGGTTTCTCTCCAGTGTGAATTCTTTCATGATTCTTACATTCTCCCTGTGTTCTAAAAGCTTTCCCACATTGCTTACATACATAGGGTTTCTCTCGTGTGAATTCTTTCATGAACCTTATAACTTGCATGTGTGTTAAAAGCTTTCCCACATTGCTTACATACATATGGTTTCTCTCCAGTGTGAATTCTTTCGTGTTGCTTACAATGTTCAGATCTGGTGAATCCTTTTCCACATTGCTGACACATATATGGTTTCTCTCCAGTGTGAATTCTTTCATGTTCCTTACAACGTCCAAGTTGGGTGAAACCTTTTCCACATTGCTTACACACATAGGGTTTCTCTCCAGTGTGAACATTTTCATGTATTTGAAAATGAATTTTACTGCTAAAAGCTTTCCCACATTTCTTACATATATGCGATTTCTGCCCAGTGTGAAGTTTTTCATGGATTACACAATAAGTACCTGTGCTGAAAGCTTTCTCACAGTGCTTATATTTATAACGTTTTTCTCTGGAGTGAAGACTTTCATGTACTTGACAATATGTACGTGTTGTAAAAGCTTTCTCACACTCCTTACATATGTAGGATCTCTCTCCTCTGTGAATTCTTTCATGTTTCTTACAAATTCCATGTGTGGTAAAACCTTTCCCGCATTGCTTGCATACATAGGATTTCTCTCCACTGCAATATTTTTCATGGATCTGAATAATGTGGTGTGTTTCTGTTTCTTTCACATTCACATTACCTTCTGCAGTACAAAGGAATACTTCTTTACACTGATTCCAAGATGTATGTCCATAGGATTTCCCTAGCTTGTCATTTCTGTAAAGAAAAATCACATATAGGATTTATAACCATATTACTAAGCTTTTCTTGGAGAGTTGAACAAAACTGTTTGCAGTCTCGCTGTTTGAATCCCCACTTCATATGTTTCACTTTTGTATTTCATAACTATTTCTATGAGCAGCATATGTAATCATCATCTTGCGATTTCTTACTGCTTATATTCACATTGAAAGCAGTATTATTTCTACTTATTTTGTCTTACTTAATCTTTCCTTATATTAAATTTAAAAAAATAAAAATTCACAGTGAAATGGGTCTCTGTTTAATAACTGCATTAATATCAAGTTCTGTTTTTAATGCCTGCTAAGAAATTCTGACCATGAAGCAACAGAATGGCCTTGTAACATATGTTGAAAACAACCATTCCCAAAAGACTGGTACACATTTGGAAATCTTAAAAATTGGTACTTTGAAATGCAGAATCTATAGCTTCACTTTGGACATGGGTACATACGTGTATCACATGCAGATTATTTTCATATGTTTTCCCATCACAATCTCCCTTCTGTCCTTAACCTGTTGTTCCCTTTTCGATATGGCCAGTCTTACTTTTCTCTGTCAACTCTGTTTCATTTCATTCCACATTTTGTATTTTAGTTTCTCATCTAAAAGAAACCCAGTGACATTTTAAGTTTTATAGCTGAGCTATTTCACTGAATTGATGGGTGAAAGACCCATCTAATTCTTATGGCAAATGACATTATATTATATATTTTTTGACATTATATAACACATATTTTTCTTTTCTGGGCTGGGAATGAACAACAGGTATTAGCATAAATCTATAGCTTTTTAAAAAATCTATTTTAAGAGATTTTCACTGATCATTAAGCTGGGAAGTTTGAACTTGAATTTGCCATTCTGCAAAATCTGATTCCTAGTGTGCTGGGTTTACAAGAATGCACAATCACAGAGAGTCTATTAATATTTTTCTTCTCCACAAATCCAGTGATAGATAGATACGCTTCAAGGCCTGATCTGTTATAACTTGATCTGCTTTGTATATGAGTAAGCATGTATCAGTATTTTATGTGGATTTTGAGATTTTAAAAATATCCAGGACAAGTATGAGGGGATCAATTTCTAGAGACACCTGTATACTGATATTCAAAATGAGTGTACTAACATTCCACCAGCCTACTAAGAGTATTAATCAGAATTGCTGATTGTCTAGAGCATGGCTTGGAAACATGAACACTCAGTTTTCTTTCAAATTCTATTGCAATCTTAGCAATTGTTACATAATGAGTGTGTTGTATTCACATGTATATATGGGTAGAAAAACTGAAGGCAGAATGTCATAACTCAAAGAGTATGCCTTTCGTACACATCTATATGCAATGTCATACATTTTCATGATTTAATTCCCTCATATATACACTAGCTTATACATCTTTGGAGAGTATTACTGACATTAAATTGAATGGTGCCTCATTTCTCTGGTGGTCATTTCTCTGCTGAGTCACTAATTACTCAGGAACATTCCTCTCCTTGTGAGTGTCAATTACCTTAAGTATCTCCAGTAAATTTTGCCTTCCTTTTCAGCTTCCTGGATATCCCCAAGTCCTCCTGAATTGTAGACATAGAAATACCAGGACTCAGTTGAGTAATACATACAAATTAATAGATTTTGTTTAGATTTATGATATAATGTGTCCAGGTCTGAGCTATTTTTAAAAATATTTTCATATTCTTTTTAACGAAACAGCACTAATGAGCAACAAACAATATTCTGACAGCATGCGTGCCAAAAAGTTTTCATCCTTACCTATTGCAGCCATGTTCCTAAAGATTTCACACATCACATCTCTGTAGATGTTCTTTTGGGATGGACTCAGCAAAGTCCACTCCTCATTGCTGAAGTTCACAACCACATCCTCAAAGGTCACCGCGTCCTAAAGGATCATACACATACTTCTCAAAGGAAGGTTGAGACCCCAGGTTTGGGATATCTTAAATTCTCTCCTACAAATCTGAATCAAAAGCAAAGTGTGGTGGCACATATTTATAATCCCAGCACTCAAAAGGCGGAGACAGGAAGGTATCAGTGAGGTCAGGGCAATTCTAGGCTCCATAGGGTGTTCAAATCCAGCTGATATACATATGGAAAGCTTGTCTCAATAAAACAAAACAAAACTAAACAAATAAAGCCAAACAAAAAAGCTCAATGAAGACTGATTTGTTCAAATTTAAATCCATGTCTTGGTCATTAATTTTGTATCTATACACATTTTTGAAGACAGCAAATTTGATGCTAGATTGCAACTCACTGCTAATGTATCAGCCAAATAGGAGCACTGATTCTTGTGATACGTCATGGCAAGACTCCCTGTGCACTGCCTCTAAAACAGAGCTCACAGTGAGAAGCCTACAGGACCAGCAACCACAAAGCACAGAGGCAGATAAATTTCTCATCAATTGACTGGGAAGCTAAGTAAGAACCACCCCCTCCCTGGTCAGCAGTGGTGGTTTGGGGGACTGCAGCCCTTCCAGGGGCAAACCAGCAGCAGCTCCTGAGATCCATGCCATGCTGGAATTTAGAACACTATGAAGCCAATTAAGCACCACTTCTCCCTGGTAAGCAGTGGCAGTCTGGCAGACTGCGGCCCTTCCAGGGGGAGAACAGGCAGCAGCTCCTGAGATCCGTGATATGTTGGACCTTAGGACGCTGTGAATCCAAACAACCAGCCTGTCTCCCTACTAAGCAATAGTGAACCTACTGATTCACAGCCTAGAATCAAACATCCCACTACCCTACCCCTCTTCTCCTGTTACCCCCCATTAGCAAATGGGAACCAGAAATCTGAGCGTTTCCTGGGAAGTAGACCATAGCAAATAAGGGGTCTTCCTTATACTATCTCTTTGAAGGAAAATGTTTTTATTATTGTTTCACTCTATTCTGATTAATGGTACTGCTCAATTCAATATTCTGTTTTGATGAGTTCTATATTGTTCTGTATTTCATCTCATTTTGATATATGTGATTAAAGAACAACTATTACAAAGATAACAAAATACACTGTGATACCTATTACTGTTATCCCAGTAACCTGTTGTGAAGTTGTGTACCAATTTCACTGTATGAGCTTAGTTGGCCTTATGCTGCCTTGTTCTGTTGTATTTTACCAATTTCAAAATTAAATAAAAAATCTCATCAATCACTTTGGTAGACTACAGATGATGTCTGTTCAAATCTCATTTAGGCCAATGAGTACTTTGTTCTTAATATACTTAAGCAGCATTTTGAAACATGAATTTGGATTCATAGAACAAAACATAAATAACATCAAATATGGTATATAAATAATAACTCAAGTGTTAGTGGAAAATAGCTGTATTTTAAAAATATGTATATAAAATGAAACCAGGCCCAAGCTGTAAATTATACCTCACTGTCACCAAGTGATCACTTTCAATTCAAATATAAGAAATGTATCTTGGGATGCTGGTGAAGGATTTCTTCCTTGAATTTGGGGCTATCCTAAGTTACACAGCCGCCTAAAATAGACAAACCCTGATTGAGAAACTGAACAAACAAAGTGAAACTTAAAAAGAGACTGCATAAGACACCTTGGGTTTGTTTTTTAAAAATTATAGCCATACAATACAGAAAAATTCCAACAATATTCAATACTTTCTGAGAAACAATGTGGATATCTTGCATACTACACAGAAAATATTTTCATAGTTGCGTATTTAGCTCAGTGGCATGAATGCCTGCCTGGAAATCATAGGTCATGCGTTCGATCCTTGGTACAAAAAAATTGAAAATTTCACCTTCATGACACTGGGGCATAATTAGAGATAATCAAAATTAGATCTCAATTGCAATGGAACAAAAAAATCATGGGTTGACAGGGATGTGGAATACAGATTGTTGCCAGAGCTGGTATTGATCACCTCAGTGAAGCAATCAGAACCCAACTTTACTTCATACTTACTCTAAGAACGACCTAACTTTCAGTGAAGACCCTCTCTGTTGTATGTTCTGCTATTTGCTGCCTGCATCCTGTCAGTCACTTCCACATCTTTTCCACACTCCTCTGATTCATCCAAACAGAAAACACTTCATGCCTAACTATTGATATCACTGCAAAATTTCTATTTAGGGCTTCTCATTTACACCACTTAGATATGTCCATTGTAGAGAATTTCCATATTTAAACTATTAACAACCAAGCTTCTAAAAATCAGCTCTTAATTCAGAGATGACACCCCTATTCCTTTCCATTCAGAAGGATATCATGTGTATATGTCCATGCAAATGCCTAAATTTTGGCAATTTTCGATGAGACTTTAACAGGTAGCCCTTTCTGGAATTTGTCCTTCACAAATTTTTACCCTGTCCTTGATAGCACGTTCATATTTGCTTCATTTTTCTCAGACTTCAAAACTCTATGGCTGTTCTCACAAACCTACTCTGTGAGCAGGGGTGACACCTAAATAACTAAGTGTGTTCAGAAATTATTTTGCAATGTTCTGTATAATACACAGGAGTTCACCAGGTGTTTGGGAAGCCTTTCTCCGCTGAGGCACACTACTACATATCTCTGAATTCTCAGGACCTTTGTCACTACCTTTCATGAGGATGGAAATAGGAGAACATACTATAAATTTAGGAGATCACTAAAAATACAAAT